CTGAACAGCACCTAAGGGGTCACATAGGTACTACAGTAATAGGGTATTGGGCAGGTGGGAGGGGAGAGGGGGGCGGGTATATACATATATTATGAGTGAGATGTGCACCATCTGGGGGATGGTCATGCTGGAGACTCAGACTTGTGGGGGAGGGAGGGAAATGGGAATTTATTGAAACCTTAAAATCTGTACCCCCATAATATGCCGAAATAAAAAAATAAAAATAAAATAAAATAAAATAAAAAAGAACAAACTGGCAGGCATCAGTCTTCCAGACTTCAAGCTGTACTATAAAGCAATGATCATTAAATCAGCCTGGTACTGGCACAAGAACAGAGGCATTGATGTTTGAAACAGGACTGAGATTCCAGAGATGAAACCATCTGCATATGGTAATCTAATCTTTGATAAAGCAGACAAAAATATACATTGGGGAACAGAATCTCTTTTCAATAAATGGTACTGGGAAAACTGGATAGCTACATGCAGAAGAATGAATCTGGAGCCCTACCTCTCATAAAAAATCCACTCAAGATCAATAACAGACTTAAATCTAAGGCATGAAATCTTAAGAATCCTAGAAGATGTTGGGATGACCCTTTCAGACATTGGCCTAGGCAAGGAATTCTTGAAAAAGACTCCCACAGCAATCACTGCAGCAGCAAAAATAAATAAATGGGATCTGATCAAATTAAAAAGCTTCCACAAAGCCAAGGAAACTATCATTAGAGCAAATAGACAACCTACAGAATGGGAGAAAATATTTGCTCTCTACACTTCCGATAAAGGTCTGATAACAAGAATCTATCTAGAACTCAAAAGAATTAACAAGAAAAAATCAAACAACCCCATCAAGTAATGGGCAGTGGAATTGAAGAGAAACTTTTCCAAAGAAGACAGAATAGCCAGCAAACATATAAAAAAAGTGCTCAACATCTCTAATCATTAGAGAAATGCAAATCAAAACCACAGTGAGATATCACCTTAACCCCAGTCAGATTGGCCTCTATCAAAAAATCCACAAACAACAAATGCTGGTGTGGATGTGGAAAGACAGAACACTCTTACACTTCCGGTGGGACTGCAAATTAGTGCAACCTTTGTGGAAAAGAATTTGGAGATACCTCAAAGAGCTAAAAATAGAAATATCATTCAATCCAGCAATGGCATTATTAGGCTTCTAGCCAAAAGAGCATAAGACATTCTATAACAAAAACATCTCCACCCGAATGTTTATGACAGCACAATTCACTACTGCAAGGATGTGGAAACAACCCAAGTGCCCATCAATTCATGAGTGGATTATTAAAATTTGGTATATATTTACAATGGAATATTACTCAATTTTAAGAAATGACAGTGAGCTAGCACTGCTTATATTATCCTGGATTGAACTTGAACCCATTATCTGAAGTGAGGTGACACAAGATCAGAATAATGGACTCCACATGTGCCCACCATCAAATTGGTACTGACTGATTAACACTATGGTGCTCAAATGGTGGTGGTGTCTACCAGGGATTCGGAGGTTGAGGGGAGGTAGACCCATATCTGAGGGATGTGGTGAGCATTGTGGAGGGGAAGGGCATACCTCTAACCCTTGCTCGGGAGAGGCGAAGATATAAAATGCAACCAAAATATTTGTACTCTCATATTTTCTTGAAATAAATAAAATAATAAATAAAGTAAATGAGTGAGTGGATAAGGAATCTTTTCAGATAAAATTAACAATTCTTATATAATTAAACTACTACTAATAAACACAAATTTAGGATGATTTAGAAAAATGTTATTTGGCAAAACACTTATTTTCACTATTAATATTTTCAAACCAAAACTAAAACCTTTACCTCCTAAAGCTAATAAAAGGCTCAATCCCAATTGAACATTTTTTTAAAAATCTCAAGTAATGACTTATTCTTGAAAAAATATTCAAAGTCAGATATTTATTTCCAGTGTTTTTAAAACCAGCTCCTTAGAAATGACTATTGGAAGGCTACTGCTACTAGCCTTACCAAAATTGTTCCTGATCCTTCAAGAATTTCTATAATAATGACTTGTAAGCAACTCTATTTACGTCCATTGATGAAAGCTGCCAGGAATGCTAGTAAAATAGAATTCCTCCTAGAATTAAACTGATCTCTTGGTATTATCATATAAACCTTTTCTATCAAAATTATGATTTGCAAGTATATTCAGATATACAAGTAACTATAATTTTATTCAAAGAATTCCTTCCCTCTTACACTATATTTTGATTTAAAACTTAGGGCTAGAGAGAAAGAATTTACATATCTAGTTGCCCATTAAGATAGTTCCAGGACATCAATGACAACATCACTAATGGCTATTCACCTATTACTTGAAAAGGAACAAACTAGAGCAGTAAAGGCAAAGAGAATTATTTTATCAGTCACTGTTTTCAGTAATTTACATTTTATTTCAGGAAAGAACCCCAAAATACACAACAAATAAAATTGAAAATTAAGCAAAGTGAAGAAGCCTTAGTTCATCATAGCTACCTAAAAATATATCTAAAGATAGCTATAAGTTATCATAGTAAAATATATGACTAAAATGAACAAATAATCAAGTGCTTAACATTCAGTACTTGTTTACCATACCCAAGAAAATTAAAAACATATGCTTACCCAAAAACTTGCACATAAATGTTCATAAAAGCCAAAAAGTGGATAAACCCAAATGTCCGTCAACTGATGCATAAATAAAATGTGGTACATCCATACAATGGATTATTATTCAGCCATAACAAGGAATAAATTAGTACTGATACTGATACACACACAATATGGATGAAACTTGTAAACACTATGCTAAGTGAAAGAAGACAAAAGTCCATATATTGTATGAATCCACTTGACACAAAATATCTACAATAGGCAAATTCATAAAGACAGAAAGTAAATTATTGGCTGCCAGGGGCTGGAGGGAAGGTGTAAAGGGGGTATGATTGCTAATAGGTACAGGGCTTCTTTTTGAAGTAACAAAATGTTCTGGAATTAGATAATGGCGATGGTTGTAAATAGAATACTAAAGCCCCCTAAACTGTGCATTTTTAAAAGGTGAATTTTATGTTATATGCATCTGTATTTTTTAGAAAATAATTTAATACTAAAGATTGCTAACTGAAAGACATTCAGTACTTAAATACAAATTTAGAAGTGAGGGAAAATCTTAAGAGTTGAAGATATAACTTCCCACCACACCCCCCCCCCTTTTTTTTTAAAAAAGATGGTCTTACTATGTTGCCCAGGCTGGAGTGTGGTGACTATTCACAGGCACAATCCATTACTGATCAGCACGGAGTTTTGACCTCCTCCATTTCTGAACTGCACCGGTTCACCCCTCCTTAGGCAACCTGATGGTCCACACATTGATGCCAAACTTAGTTTGGACACCCTATTGGCACAGCTCATTATAGCACAGAACTCCTGGGCTCAAGTGATCCTCCCACCTCAGCCTCCCAAGTAGCTGGGACTACAGGCATGTGCCACAGCGCCCAGAGTATTTTTTTGTTTATAGGGGAATGTCTCATACATAATTAAAATCATAGAAGTGGATAAACTCTCAAGGAAGAAAATAAAGAGTAAAAAGAAGATGCCTTAATCAAGAAACTTGCCAGAGAGGCTGAAACTCATTCTGAAAGAAAGAAGTTAGTAATAACTAGTACTAGTAAATCATGAAAGCCGAGGCAAGAGAATTTCAAAAGGGGGGAAAGCTACATATTACCTTTGTGTTTAGAAAAAAATGCATTTACACATAATAAATATTACTTTTAAAAAATGAGGAAAAGGAGAGTGGACAATAAACATCAAAATAATATAAAAAGCAAAGTAGGGATTGCAAAAAGCTAACAGATTTGAAAATACTAGGATACAAGTGACTTGGGAGCATGGAAAATATGGAAGTCAGATTAAAGTAGTCACAGTGGTCTTGCCACACTTCTCCATATTTAGTAAAGAAAGGAAAAATTAAAATGTGATAAAAACTATAGGCATCCTGGTCCAAGGGTAATCTTTTTCAGAATGACCAAGATCTCTCCACATTTGCCAACAATGACAAAAATGCCAACATAAATGGGAATCCTAAAAGATTATGGGAATAGGAGATGTTAATGTGACAAAGCTCTAAGAAAGGCAGAAGAAAACAGGACTGTGTGCAGAGATATGTTTTCACATCCAAGTTATTCATCAAAGTGAATCCCACCAATGTACACATCATACTTATTAGTAATAACCTGGTAGTCTTACCCGTTTCTCTTGTTGGCCAAGTATAAACAGCATGGATTAGTAAAGAGAGTCTGAGTCTTAGGAGTGAAGCAGACCTAGTTTCAAATCTCTCTCACTCACTCAACTAAGAAGTTAAGGGGTTAGTGTGGGAGAGAAGAGTTGGTATAATTCTAAGAACAGAAATATGTACATGTCATCAATAAAAGTATTTTATAATATTTCAAATAATAATACTATTTTAGTAAGAAAAGCATAATTCAGCACCTCAAATTTGAATCTCAAGTATTAAGTGGTTTTAAAAAACATTTTAAAATACATATTTTAATTCTAAAAATATTTTACTTGAAGTATCTTTTTTATACAGTTTTGTCCAGGAATCTATTCCATTCACGTGACCTATGTAACTTTGACTGGTTTTACTTTTCAAACTATACTGACTATAACCAAGAAATCAATGTTGCTTTGACTAAATATTTCTTACTCTTTCATTTCTCTAAGAATAATTATTTTTTCACTTTTTTCTTATTTTTTATTTACATTTTTATTTCTCTCTAGTACTAACCTTTGAATTTAAGAATAAATTTTAAGTTGATAAATTATTCATTACAATCACTGCTTTTCTCTTTTGATAAAGTTATATCTTATGTTGCCTTCACTTCAAAATTTTCAAAGGAAAATGTTAACAAATTGTTATTGCAATTACCCATTTTGTAGTAATTTTAGTACTGAAAGTAGAAATTTATTCCTGACCTTTGCACACTTTCTCATACTGATGTATAGCTTCTTCCTCCACTTTCTGATTACTTAACTGCTCCTAAAAAAGAATATGAGTTAAATGCAAATATAACTTAAATACACAATATTTACCAGTGGACCTTGAAAACAGGGCTCAATATTAAGTTTGAAATCAATCTCCTAAAAAGCTATCAGTCTCAAGCTTCCAAGTTCACCTTGGAGAAAAGGTAGGGTGAGAGTGATAATAAGAAAAAAAAATACTTTATACTTTTAATCTAAGTTGTGACTCAGTTATTTTACTTACTTCACATTTTAAGTAAATGTTTTCTCACATACCACAAAAAGCAGAAACAAAGGAAAATGGAAGTCTGCTATGTATTTTATACAGGAGAAACAAAGAAAACCATAATAAAATTCCCTATCATTAACTTCAAAATGCAGAAAAAAGAGAGCCATTCATCCCCTCTACCTGGAGAGTAGTTGCTAAATTTGAAAAAAAGTAAGGCAATTTATAATTTAATCATTATAAATATTTAAAAGTTATTTAATTATTATTAAGTTGTAGGACTAGAAATCCTACAATTCTAGTTTCAATCTGTCAAGTAATCCAAACTACACTTCTAATTTTATCTAACTTCACCACTACTATCTCCTCACTTTATAAGTCTTAGAATGAATCATTATAGAACCTGGAGATCTCTGAATTCTATTATTGTTGCCTTATCTATTTAGTTAATGTCAACATTTACAATAAAGGGATTTTGCTTTTCAAGTGTCATTTTAAAAAAGAATTTGTGGCCGGGCGCAGTGGCTCACGCCTGTAATCCTAGCTCTCTGGGAGGCCGAGACGGGCGGATTGCTCAAGGTCAGGAGTTCAAAACCAGCCTGAGCAAGAGCGAGACCCCGTCTCTACTATAAATAGAAAGAAATTAATTGGCCAACTGATATATATATAAAAAATTAGCCGGGCATGGTGGCGCATGCCTGTGGTCCCAGCTACTCAGGAGGCTGAGGCAGAAGGATCGCTCGAGCCTAGGAGTTTGAGGTTGCTGTGAGCTAGGCTGACACCACAGCACTCACTCTAGCCTGGGCAACAAAGTGAGACTCTGTCTCAAAAAAAAAAAAAAGAATTTGTTATAAGACCTAGACCACTTTTTTTTACTCTTTATTTCAAAATAATTTTAAGTTTACAAGAGCTGCAAATTTAGCTATATCATGTCAACTCGGCTTCCTCTAATGTTAACACATTATTATACATTACCATGATACATTTATCAAAAATCAAGAAATTAACATTGACATAATATTATTAATTATACTACAAACTTCACCACCATTCATCAGTTTTTCCGCTGCTGTGCTTTTTCTGTTCTGGGATCCCCTTCAAGATATAACATTGCATTTAGTCATCATTTCTCCTTAGTCTTCTCCAACCTATTATAGTTCCTCAGTCTTTGTCTTTAATGACTTTGACACTTTATACTGGTCAGGTATTATGTAGAACATCCTCAATTTGGGTTTATCTCATGTTGTCTCATGAACAGAGGTTGTGGATTTGGGGGAAGAAGTACATGGTATTAATATGACTAATTACTAGTGATGTTATACTTGAACATTTTGTTAAGGTGGTATCTACGAGGTTTCTCCACTATAAAATTCTTATTTTTTCTTTTCTATACTCTTTGTTAGAAGCAAGTCACTATTGACTTATTTAAGTAATTTATTTTTAGATTCCAGAAAAGGTCAAAACAGAGTATGTTATTAAAAACTAATTTATGCATTTTATTAGGCACTAAAATATATCAACAGAATGTACTTAAGCCATCTTTAAAAACAAAACTGTACCTTGAGTTGCTGAATAGTTCGCTGTTTCATATCTATTTCCTGAGAAGACTGGTTTTTCTTTCTCTCCAGTTCATTAATTTTAATCCTCAACAATTTCTCCTCATCACGCATTACAGATATCTACAAAGTAATGTTTATAAAACAAATTAAATTTTTTAAAAATATGAATTGTTTTTGTTTAAAATTCATGGCTACTTGTTCAGAGATTCATGTCCTTTAAACCCCATTAGAAAAATTATAGTTTCTAATATACTACATGATACAGCTTCAAATTACCAGAAAGTATCTTAATACTTTAATGGAGAATGCATATAAAGAGCTCATTTTCTTCATACATTGTTTTAAGAATCTCAAACTCTATAAGTCCTCTCAATAAAGAATCACCCTTAACACCTACATGTATTAGTAAAATAATTATCATGGAAAAAATTAAGAGATACTGTGAAGTAACTTTTCTCATCATTTTAAGTATGAAGTTGATAAATATTCTATTCAATCCTAAACTTGATATAGAAGGAAAACAATCTTTATCATATTAAATTAGCCACACGATTTTTCAAATAACCTACCTCTTTCTGTACTTGTTCAATCTGCTTTTTGGCATCACTCAGTTTTTCTTTCAGCTCAGCATAATCTTCTTCCTTCCTATGAAGATCCACTTTTAGATTGTGGGTAAGAGCAGAGCTTGCAGAAAGCTCCTCTTTCAATCTAAAAAACACAAATCACTTTTCTATAGATAGTGATGCACCATTAACCAGTTAGAATCATACATGTGAACTAGTAACAATTTTTACAAAATTACATCTTTTCACAAATTTGGAACATCCAAATTATAAAGAGTCCTTCAGAGAGGGTTTCATGTGATTTTTTATAAGCCAATCTCTTCATATAACTTATGGTTCCAAAGGTTTATATAAACAAAATTCAAGTTCTTCACTAATCACACATGCTATACTTTACCATGCTAAATTGTGACCCTCTAATTGTTTAAAAGCTACATAGTAAAATGAATGCTTTGCATATTTCTAAACATTTAAATAACATTTAGCTTACTTTTCTTTTTCTTGTCTGATGGTTTCTTTTTCTTCTTCCTTTAATTGAAGAGAATACTTCACATCTTGCAAATTATTTGTTAATTGCGTGATTTCTTCTTTCAACTTGATTTCCTTTTCACTTAAATCTTTGATGTTTTTGATAGAATCCTGAAGATTTGCTTGAAATTCCTTCAGATTTCGTTCTAGCTTTAAGATGACAGATTCCTTTTCCAAAATGTCTTGTTCTAACTTGGCTGAATGCCTACACTCATCTTTTTGAGTCTCTAAGATTGTTTCAAGTTCCTTTATTTTTGCCTTAGAGCAAGTAACAACTTCTGTAAGTTCTGAAAGTGCTCTCTTTCCTTCAACTACATGTTGTGCTTGAACACCAAGATTAAAGGTTTTTTCTTGCAGTTCTTCTTTCAGCTGCTGTATAAGATTTTCTTTTTCTTTTAGTAGGTTACTCTGATTTTTATGCTCCCTCTCCTCTATTTTTAGTCTATTGTTTTCATCCTTATAGCCTTCTACTTCTGCCTGTAATTTTTCAATTTGTTGTTGCAGTTCCTGGATCTGATGACTTTTTTTGGAGGAGGCCTTCACAATCTCCTTACATTCTTCCCAAATAGCTTCAATACTAGAGTGGAAAGCACTTTCCCTGCTGAGTTCTTGAATAGGACATTCTTTAACTTGCTTACTCACCAAGTAATCATTACCTAAAAGATGCAACTGTGTATTTAGCAAATTATCTTCCTGTAAACCATTTGATAGATCTCTGAAATTGAGTAAATCTATGTTTGAGATCTGAGAAATCGAATCAAGTGTACGTAGTTCATCTATTTTTGTTTGCATTAATTTTATTTGTGAAACATTATTTGTAATACTTCTTGTAGCAATTTCTATCTCTTTTGACAATTTCATGATCTTTTCCTCCTGTTCTTGATTTATACCTTTCTGCACACGTAATTCAGCAATTGCACTGTCATAATTTGACTGAATTTGTTGGACCTCTATACTTAAAGTTAAAGTCTTTTTTTCAGAAAGAGAAAGTTCCTGCTGCAACCCAGCAATCTGTTTATTTAATTCTGCTTTTTCTTCCCTTTCATTTTTAAGTTCATTCTCAACAATGAGTAAAAGTGTTTTCAGCCCTTCATTATTTTCTTGTAAAACTCTAATGTCTTCCCTGTTTTCTGAAATGCTCTGTTGCATTTCTTCTTTTCTCTTTTGGTCTTCAGTGATAGTTGAACTAACATGCATTGATCCTTTAAAAATAAGAAAAATTATGATTAATCTGCTAAACCTTAATAAAACCAAAAAATTACCACATAAGCCAATATTCAAAGATACAAAACATATAAAAGCAAGAGAAAAGAAAAAGAAAAAAAAAGAAAGAAAAAAAGGAAAAATATGAGAAAAAAAGAAAAAAACAGATTGCAAAAATGTGGTATAAGCTCATTTATGTAAAAAGCATAGTTCCTTAAGTTAATGCAGACAGAGAGTTAGCAAAAGAAGTATGCCAAAATGATGGTAGCTATCGCTGAGTAGGATTATCAGTTATTTCTTCTTTCTTTTTATAATTTTCAGTATTATTTAACCTTTAAACCACAAACCTTTATTATCATTATAACATGGGACAGAGGGGAAGAGATAACAGTGAGATACCCTAAGCAAATATCCTATCTCCTAAAGAACAGTTTTAAAGTAATTATATTATGGATTCTACTATATTAATGATTGGTAAACTGAGTACTTTATATTTTCATAGCTAACATTAGGGAAAAAATGGTTGAAATTCTGAGAAGTCATATAATATAGCCCTAACCTTCACTAGCTGTATAATCATTAACAAACTGCTTAATATTAATACTATGTTTCTTCAAATGTTGAAATGGAAATAGTAATAATATTACCTTCTATCTCAGAATTGTTTTAAAGATCAAAACAATAAATGAGCTTAGAACACTGTGCTTTGGGTACAGTTAGCTATTAATAGGACCTGAAAATCTGCACAAAAAGGTCCAGCTAATTAACATGTATAAAGTTTACATTTTTTAAGGTTCAATATCAATATTCCTAGACTAAGGATATCTCTACCTGCCTTACTCTATAGAATAGTATTAAAAGGCTAAAATGAGTTAATATATAATGTATGTTAAACTATTCTATAAATGTTATACACATATAAGAACTTTAACAATTATAATTGATATAAATTATGTCCAGAGTGTAAGCATTATTAGCTTAAATTTAATTTTTTTTAATTTTATTTTTTTTTAAATTTAATTTTTAATGTTTGCTTTGACAAATAAACTCACCCCACACAAGTATCCAATATAAATTATATTCTATGATTAAATCTTGAAACATAATTCTCAATCTTCTAGATACACAATTTTATACCCACATAACTTTTTATGTTTTCATACAATTTCCGATGAAGGCCAGATGATTATCTCAGATACTAGAACAATAGTTCAAAACAGCAAGAATCTGACTCTTCTTTTTTTTTTTAATTTCTTCCTGTTCTGTTACACTTCATAGTTTGATATTTGTACATGGACTTTACAACATTGCTCCGATACAATTTATGTGTGAATTTTCAACATGACATTGCTCTGATACAATCAATTCCATATGTCCTTTTGCCCTGCATTTGCTCCCTCACTGACCATTTATCTTTTGAATTCACCTATGTTTTTATTTGCTATCCTCACTAAATATGTAAGAATCAAATTCTTCATGCTTGAAGGTCCCAAATAGAATATGAAGTACAAGTGGTACTAATCCTTAAGAGCAGCAGACAGTAATAAGAGAGGTTTAGCTCAAAAATCTTCATTAAGAAACCTATTACTTTCAGTTGATATCTGCCCAGTGAATCTAAAAAGATTGTATTATACAGTTTTCTTTTTAATGAGCTCCCATATTATCCATCCATCTCAGTTATTTATATTTTATCAAAAAATGTTTGTCTCTTTCATCTACTAGATTTTAAACTATTTGATGGCAGACTCCTTGTGTCTGATTCATCTTAAACAATAAACCTAAATGAAATATTTTTGAAACTTAGCTATGTTCTCCTTTTCTATCTCTAAGACACAACACTGCACCAGAAAGCAAATAATTAATCTTTGTAAATATAATTTTTGCATAGTAACTTATTCCGGTTCTATATATGTGCAAATTCACAGATCTGACATATTCCAGTTATATTAACTTGGTTACTTTATTATAACGTTACATTTAAATTTTTAAGGTCCTCTCTTTAAACATTTATTTACAACAGTGATTTTCTAGTTCAATTGGGCAGAATTACCCAGGGAACTTATTAAAATGCAGATTCCTGGGAATAAATACCAAAGATACTGACTTGGTAAGTCTATAGTGTATTTTACATGTAAAACTTTGAGAATTAGCACTCTAGGCATTATTTTTGAAAATTTCTACAAGAAGACAGTCACCTCAATAATACATTTGGGATATTAATGGATCAGTTTGCTTCATTACAAAGCCCTTAAGTGGCAGCACTGCTACATGTAATTGTTTCATAAAAGCCAAATGTCAAACCTCATGTAGTTACGAGAGTCAAACCCATAAGTTTTAGCCTGCCCATGGAATGATAGTAGCCCGTGGGATACACATGTAATGAATCTGTTCAATAAAAAAGGCAGCATTTTTGAGATCATAAAAAGCTCCTTAAAATGAAATCTGCTACGTTACATACAAATGACTTTCTATCTTCCTATATGCTAATCACAGCTGAAGCTATAAGTAAAATAAAGGAAAATCATAATCATTTATGAAAGGTCTTTCAGATACTATTATACAATGTAGAGAGAAGAAAAACCTTGATTGTTTGTTCTCAAGATTTTTAATTCTATGACCCGTTTTGATGAATTAAAATCCCCTAGCCATCTCCTGATACTGATTTGCCCCCAGTGAGAATATATTGCCTCCACCCAAGAATCACACTGTACAATATGGGAATCGCAGCTCCCTACCCCATCCAGAATTTATCTAGTTTTACTTTCAGTAGTGTGTATATGTAAAAAACAAGATTTTTAAGTTTGCATTTTTCAAATATAATCCATGTTCTTTTTCACTCAATTGTCTAAATGTTCTTAGGCAGCTGTAGTTAAATAATCTCATTATGGGATTCCAAAATCTCTTTTCTTTAATACAGACTAATTTTAAAAGCTCATTGGCCGAGGTTTTATTATCCATAATTTACATTGTCTCTCTAGGCTCAAAGAAGGGGAAAAATACAGCATTATCCCTGCCATACTTTGTTAAAAGCTGCTGAGTTTATTTTTGAAGCGTTTCTTATGTTTGCAGTTTACATTTTCCTAATTTATTTCCTCAAGATTCTAAGTTTATTCAAGGATTCCAGCTATTCCAGAATCTTAAAGATTTGCCCTTCTTTATTTTTACAAACTTGCTCTTATAGATTTTTAAAAAAATAACCTTCAATATATGTATTATTTTTCATCAGACTGTCTCCTACTAACATAAATACTACTAGAGTACATTTGTAAATAACATTTAGCTCAAAGTCTTACTGTCAAATATCCTTTTCTCTAAATGAATAAAGAATGCTAAGGAAGAAAAGAAAACAATGTGCAGAGCTTTTGACAGAAATAGGTACTAGATTTATGAAATGAAAGTGATGAGTTTTAACTATTATAAGCACAGAAGTAAAAGAATTATAAAAGAAGTAATAAAAGCACAATTTCTAATTACACATTTATTAAAAGACTGCTTTAAATACATCCATCCTCTACACAGTTTATAACTGTCTAAAATAAAAATTCATGATATTAGGATTTTCTAAAAATTTTTCCTTAGACAAGTAAATGTCCTCCTATTTGCAACTTTTGTATTTACTAGTTTAGGAATTCATTGTCTTAAAGGCCTCCTGCTGGCAGCCAAAGTAGTACCTTTCTTTGCTGGTGGTTCATCTTGTTGAAGTTCATTTTCATTTAATCTTTTTCTTTCTGAATAGGTGTTAGTTCTGCTGACCTTAGGCACTTCAACTGCTTCATTACAAGTCAATTTATTGTTTACTATTAAAGATGTACCAGCCTTATCCTAAAGAAAAAGAAATTAAAATTAATTCACACATAGAGAGCTAGAAAGCTACAATAAATGAGTAAGCTATATGAATTATCTTTCAATAGTGTATCAATTTTATTTTCAAATCTGTTGAAACATTTTCTAAGTTATTTCTTAAGTTTCACCCTAAAATAACTGATGGCTCTGGCAAATGAGTAACATTTGAGGATAATTGGAGAGCCCTAAGAACAGTCACTTTAAAGTCACACTCAAAATGAGCTTTGAAAAGAAAAATATGAAACTCAACAATTATTTTGTTTTGTAACTAAGGACTCTGAAAGTAGAGCTGTTTTACTTTACACTTTAACAATTCCCAAAAAATAGTTTTGACCTTAGCTTTTACTCTGTATGTATTCAAAGATATACAATCTACTTATGAGCTTTAAAACTGAACTTCTAGATCAGTCATTTACACTTTTATTTTTTAAGGCAAAGACTGTCTCCCTTAAAAAGGCTAGCGGAGAAAGGGTACAATATGGACTTAAACAGAAAGAAGAAAGGTAAAACTCAACAATTAAGATCAACTCTATAAAATAATCAAAGGTGTGGTAAAGGCAGGGACTTGTAGCAATCCATTTTGGGGGAAAAAAGTGTATGGCAAAACAGAAAGTACCATTTTATAGCATAAAATCAGCAAACATTTTATTTCCTGGAGATATAGATAACATCACTTTTTAAGTCATAAAATCATGAGTTATTTTTTTTAAAAGCAAAGTTTTTTTTAGATATTCCTGAATAAAGGATTTCATAAAGAACAACTTCCATGCTTTCTCACAATAAGTCCCTTAGTGTAATGGTTAAGTGACACAATCCTGGGACAGAAAAGATCACACCTCTGATAGAGCTCCACAAGAGGTCCAAGTTGCCCCCTCCCCCACCCTTAGCACCCATCAGAAAGACCTGGTCTGTACTCCAGAAGTCACACAGTTACTAAAAGGAGGATTTTATGCTTGGGTAGGAAAAAAAAGGATAAAAGAACAACTACTCAAAATAAAGTTTTGCATCATTGGAAAACTTTCAAGACAAGCTTTGGAAGAATGATCCTAGATCAACTGTTAATCAGCACAGTCAGGTAAATCTCAAATTATTTTGTGTTTATGTATTTAAGTGAAGAATTTAAATTTGGCACAATGTTTTAAGTTAGTTGATAAAACAAGGTCTAGAACCTATTTATAAAGTTTAAGGTAAGGAATGACTAAATTTAAAATATTGCTTTTTTTATATGGCTTTTTTACTATTTCTCACTTAAACATTGCCAACACACTATGGTAATAAACACACTATGCTAACACACTATGGAAATAAACAAAATCCCATGTGAAATTTCCAACTATTTTCTTTGAAGTTGTAATCCCCAGAAGTGATCTGTCTCTGCCTTTCCTTTTTGTTTTTATTTTCCTTCACCATACCAAAGACTAGACTTAAAATCCAGATCAAGAGGTTAGACCAAATAAAATTTCTCAGAGCCTGGAGGTCCAGCAATTAAGTTAATGGACAAAGTCAGGCCCAAGTCCCAAAAGTCTCACCTATTGCACAAAGCAATTTCCTTTTATTCTCCACCACCACTACCCAAAATCAAATCTTCATCAACTATCACCTCAACTCCTCCAAGAAATAGCTAACTGGTCTCTCTGCCTCAATTCCACCCATGTTTCCAGAAATATCTACTCAATCAAAAACCTCAACTTTGCTATTTCTCTATTTAAAATAATGATATCCCACTGCCTCCCCAAACTCTTTAATGCAATATTCAAAGGCTCTCCACCATCTTATCCTATTCTACCACTATAAGCCTCATTTCTCACCTCTCCTTGCTTCAGACTTTCTTCCTGAACAACATATTGCCTGCACTTTACACAACACTGACTGAAAGATTTCTCATCTCCATGACATTGTGCACTCTGATCCCCAAACACGAAGGCCAGTATGTCTTCTTGGCCTTCACTGACTACCAACTGCCCCCTCTCTCTAATTTCAACTGGCTAAATTTCACTAACCCTTTAAAGCTCAATCAGTCATTTTCATCTCCATAAAGCATTTCCTAAACACTTACCTATTCTCAGCATCCTTAACTCATTGACTACCACTGCACATTACATTACATTATAATTATGTTTATGTTATTTTTCTCTTACTGAGGGGTCATCAGTGGACTAGTTTTTAATTAATCTGTATAATTTCTATAACTTAGCACAATACCTGGCACACAGTTCAGTAAGTGTTTACTGAAATAAATCATTTTTTGTTTCCCATCCTTGCTCCTCCCACCTTATTAGAAGGGATATTTCTCCCAATTCAGGTACACAGGATGTGAGGGCGATCTGGCTGTGACATCTGTCACATCGTTGATCGCCACGATTGATTTGGCTGATCTGGCTGGCTAGGTGGGTGTCCCCTTCCTCCTCCCTTTTCCTCCCTCACCATTCCATGTGTATCCCTCCCAAAGCTGCACACTCGGTCGAAGAGAATAAACTTCCCCAATAGAAGGGGACTATTCTTTGGTCAAGAGTGTATGAGCAGCTGCATGCCCCTGCTAGAACCTCCAAACAAGCTTTCAAGGTCCAGTTCAGGTACAGAAAAGTCAGATTTATAATGTATCTAATACATACCAAAAGAAGGGCCTGCTACAGGAGATTAGACAGAGGGTGAGCTACTCTTCTTGAATGTTCCCTGGTTACCACTGTGGAGTCAAAAGCCCTACTAAAGTTCAGATAATTCAGGGAATGGTGGTGGGATTTGAGCCTAACTGTCAAGATGTAAACAGTCACTTTTTGTAAGATACCACTCTTGGCCTCCTCTGATCATAGAAAAGACATACAAAAGCACCTTTTAACAAAGCAAAGATGCTTGGCTATTAGTTTATTCAGCCTACTATGTTATTGCCATATATTTTACCATTTTTGTATCAAAAAATAATTTAAAGATGATTACAATAATAGAAAACCAAAAACCATTATTAAAAGAGATTAAAAGACAAGTTGATCATCCTAGCCTAAACTAACTGAACATGAAATTACCTAAATTTGTATGAAAGCCAAAAACCCTTAAAGGTTTTGCATGTCACAACACATAATGTAATTTTTTAACAAAAATATCCTTCCTATTAAACATATGAAAAATAGCAACAATGTATATAATAAAAACAAACTTCTAAGGAAAAAACCTAATTCTACTGAACTTCATATAGTTCCTTGGATCATTATAATCCAGTTGTCTAAGTATATCTAAATTCCTTTCTCCTCAGAGCTCCCCTTCCAACTAGCTGAAGCTTAAACTTTCAAGGGCTACATATTCTTTTTTCTCTTTATGTACAAAGCACTACTACCAACATAGTTCATGAGATACTATGTTCAAAGAAGTCAAATGCCCTCTTCTAAGTTCTAAAACATTCAGATTTGCACAATAGTAGTTTGAATTCAATGTCAAGATAAGTAATTCAACATTCTCAATAAATTAGTCTTAGTTGCATAAGCTATTTTAAACTACTTACTTTAAACCAAAACATAGGATTTTTAAATCTAATTTATAACGCAAAGACAAATTCTTACATTGTCTTTTAATGTGTTTTCTGTATGAAACTTTAGGTTCTGAAATTTGTTGATAGTGTCTTCTTTTTGATCAATTATATCTATCAATTCTTGAATTCTTTGATTCTGCATAATTATTTTCTTTGGAAAGAAGAAAAAATAACAATGTTTAGTGAACATATTTCATGATAACTAGAATGCAAACATTAACAGTTTTAAAATCCCTTCAATTGTAAAATTACATAAAAATAAACACACTGCATAGCATGATCTTATTCTTGCTTAAAACAATAACATGCTTATGTATACAAAGAAAAGAGAAACAGATATAGCACACAAGGTAAAAGGAATCTGGAGCCAAACCTCCTGGGTTTGAATCCTAGCTTCTCTACCTTCTAGCTATGCCACCCTGGGCAGGGCAAGTTAACCTATCTGTAAAAATAAAAATCATAGTAATATCAATATCATAAAACTGTTCTGAAATTTAAATGAGGTAATAATAATCACTTAAAAGAGTCCCTGGTAAGTAGTAAGTATTCTATAAATATAAATATAAATAAAGTAAAAGTCTAAAAGAGCTTCCAACCAATTTGTTGATTTAATTTTTTTTAATTTAGGAGAAAGATTATGGGACATTTTTATTTTCTATTTCACCTAGTTTAATATAATTAAACTGACACAACTAGTGTCTATTATTTTCATAACTAGAAAAAATTTTCAAAGACATAGGAATTATCAAAACAGTAGCTGTAATGTCTTCTTTTTTTAAAATAAATAATACTATTTAAATTTACATTATTTTCTACTATTTTTTCTTTTTTCTGATCGCCTCTTTTCCTACCATGTATATATAATGTCTTCTAAGTACATTATTTTGGTTTTGTTCTTTAAATATTAGATAGTAGATATCAAGAACTTGAATTATTTATATTTGATCACATCTTGACATATTCAGTTCTTTAAAAGGATATATGTAAAGTTAAAATAAGAAGACTCAAGCCAGAAAAGAACAGAAAAAATAATACAATGGAACCAAGTCATAATTCATGCCTTCATTTACTTAATTATAAAGTTCCTTATCAAAATAAAAAAGCTTAAAGTATTACCTTATTAGATGTCTCAAGCTCTTGTACCAATGAATCTGATTCTGAAAAAATAAAGAATATTAAAAATACCTAAGTATCTCAAAAAATATTAATATATCACTGAATAACTATGAAATATAAGCTACTGTAATAGATAATTTAACTATTGTTACATTCAAGAAAAAGGATTTTGACAGTATTAGAAGTACACAGCACTCAACTACTAATCCAACCATAAGAGGGTAATGTTTCAGAAAAAGTCACTTTTAAAACTCAGAATAAAAGTGAATGACAATATGCAAAAAATAAAGAACCTCTGGCATAATGTCAAAGAAGAAAAGAAGCCTTCCTGGTGTACTTCATAATGCAAAGTTACCACTCATCTGCTATTTTCTACCCATTCTGTTTCATAAAAAAAATTAAAAAAAAACCCAGAGTATTTAACGCTTAAAACCCAGATGTCACAATCATAGATATACATACACACATATATAAAATGCTCTCAGAACTCGAATGAAACATCAATCTAACAAACTACTTTAAGCCACTTTACAACAGTCACTCTATCCCAAGCTAGCAAGCCCAGAGCATAATCTCCTACACTAGTTCATAAAGAATACAGAATAAAATTTATAGCTTTACAATTTCCTATAAGATTTCTTAATTTTACTTATATAGCTAACACTTGGTTTGGATTTTTTTTTTTGAGAAGTCCATTTTCTAATAACAATGACCTAAAAGTAAATGATGAAAAAATATTTTTAAAAGTAAATTACTATAAAGTCATACAAATGGTATAATATTAAAATGTTATCTTGATTAAAGAATATTCTAGTTGCTATAGTAAATAAGCTGCATAAATCTCTTATACTTACCAACTGTACTTTTTTTTGAGACAAGAGTCTCACTGTGTTGCCCTGGCTAGAGTGCCGTGGCTTCAGCCTAGCTCACAGCAACCTCGAACTCCTTGGCTCAAGCGATCAATCTGTCTCAGCCTCTTGAGTAGCTGGGACTACAGGCATGTGCCACCATGCCCGGCTAATTTTTTTCTATGTATTTTTAGTTGTACTTTTTATGTTCTTATAATATTTAAATCGGGGTAAAATACATCCACTTACCGTTTTCTCTCTTTTTTAGCTCTTCTTTGGTTTTGAGTAATTCTTCTTCAGTTTTAGCTAATTCAGCCTTAACTTGATTAAACTTTAGTTCTAAACATGCAAGAGCTTCCTGGGGGTCAGCAAGAGATGCAATATATGAGTGAGCAATTTCAGCCTGTTTCTTAATATCAGCGACATTATCTTGAAGAGAATCAATAATATCTTCAAATCCTACATAATCATGTGCTTCCTAAAAATAGCAAAAACCACATGCCTAACATTAACAGTGTGTTACATCCTTACATGTGGTACCATCTAATTTAGACAGTTTTAAAAACAGCAAAATATTCGCAACTTGAAATTCTTTTTTTTTCGCAACTTGAAATTCTTTAACATAAATTATATAGAAGCATCCCCAATTATAAAAACATTGTATACCATCATTCATTGTCTGTTGTATGTACCATGAGGCATATTTCTCCATTAAAAAAAAAGTCATAATCTGTGATAAGTCATTATGGAATAATTATGATTACCTAGTTCAGTATAGTTTCAATTATATAATAACCCTGAAAAACTTTTAGAATACCTAAGGAAACCAATCTCCATTTTCACAATTCAGTCCAAGTCCCAAACCATGTCTGGGATACATAAGGGTGGTTTGACAGCAAGAGCATCACTGTCACAGGCCCCTAAATTGAGTGATTAAAAATAAAACAAAAACAACAATCCCCTAAACAAGTGATCAATTTCAGCTTTAGTAGAAGCAACAGAAAAGGATAATTTTTTCTTAAGAGTAGAAAATCATAGTTGTTCAACAAGGGCAATCCTTTTTATGTATAAACATTTTTGTTTTAATCAGAACAGTAAGTAAATGACCTCTTAGGTCTCCCATACATCTAAAAATAAAAATGTCTTAAGTTTAAGATAAAGCTAAGAGGGGTATCTCATAATCAGACAAAAAGGAATCTATCTGCCTACAATCAATACAATGACTCAAGCAATACCAAAATGAGATATAAATGCAACAGAGATATATGATATATATTTTTCAAAGCCCAATGGCTATATTTAACTATTTGTGCTTATATTCCTAATAAAACATGTCTGATTATAATAAAGCTACAAAATAAGTATTGTTTTAATTCTAAACTAAATTGACGTTTCTCACATTGACATGATATACTAAATCCTGGTACCAAAACCACACTGGATTTTTAAAATATTTTAGTTAACATACTTCAGTTTCAACTTTCATGGCACAACCTCCATTCGTTGGTTCTTCCTGAGTGTCACATTTACCAACCAAATCTCTGAAGATAGCCAAACGACATTCAGCATTTTCTTCTAATATCTCTCGTTCCTGAAGGAGAGTTTCCCTTCATAACACAAATTAATTCAAGTAAGAAATAGAAAAGGTGCTGCTTTGTGTTGAATTTTAAACTTCTAAGATTAAGTACATTATAGCTTAAGAGCTATAATCATGCATGGCGATTAGTAACAGCTATTTTCAAACTTGTATAAAGAGGTCAAAATTCAGAAGTCACCTAATATAAAACAAGTAAATAAGTTAAAAAAAATTAAACAAGTAAATAAAATTCTCAATTTTTATCAGAACATGAAATAAATAACTTACTTAAAGTCAGCTTCCCGTTGAGCCCAATATTGAGTAAACTCCTGTGTAACTTCTTCTCGAATTTTAAATTCCAGTGTTAACTTTTCTTTTTTTTCATTTATCAGTTTTTTTTTCAAGTCTTCTATTAAATCCAACAGTTTCTATAACATGTAAACATTAAAATTCTTATAAAAGAATAAACATATCCCAAGAGAACTATCTGTTTAAAAAATAAAACTTTTCATTTAGTCAATTATAATTATGCATCCTTTTTAATGAGAAAATTCTCACTGAAAAGTATGCATTTGCAAATATATATTAATCAGAAAAATCAAGTAGAGTCCTCCACATTTTAGAAATAGACTTATGATAACTCAAACATCTCACTGTCTAGCTATGCTAAGAAAAAAAGTAAAATAAAATTTGGGCACCAGGAACTACTTTGGGGAGTTCCATATTTGATTTCATGTAATTCACACAACTTTCTGGGAGCTTGGTATTGTGTACATTTCATAGGTGGGGAATATAATGACCAAATTTGTGGTAAATGCTAAACGTTGGGTTTAAAAGTGGCCTGTCAAAGTCTAAAGCCCAGTGTAGCGGCAGAGAAGTTGCTAAGAATCCCCAAACAAAATGCCAAAGAGAGATGTTACATAAACTTATTAGACTTTTATAACTATCCAGATGTGAGCAACAACTCTATAGCCTTTAAAAACACATAATCATGAAGAATGTACAATAAAATAAAGCAATTAACACTTAACATGGCCATATAGATTCATAACAAAATAAATTATAGCATTAGGAAAACAGCTTGATATTCTTTTTAAAGGTTTCTGATTAAAGTTACTCAACAACAAATTAAACAATAAACTCTCTCAAAGCTACAGATCTTCCAATGTTTCAACTTTACATATGAAAATACTTCTATAGATATCCTGACTTTGAAATCACAGTTCTAACAATTTATACTGAGAAAATAGTCATATAACATGACCCTAGTATTTTGGTGGTAAAGAATGTTGATCACAGTGTTGTCATTTTGTGGTATAGGTTGTATCTAAATAAAGTGTGAACCTAACTCAATAGCCAAGCTTCAGGAATTTGTTCAATTATGTTACTGTTATACAGTAAACTATTGTAATCATTAATGACAACCCACTCCTTCTTTTCCTATGTCTATCAAAAAATAAATAAGGCCACGTACAGTGGCTCACACCTGTAATTCTAGCACTGTGGGAGGACTGAATGAGGCCAACAGTTTGAGACCAGTCTGAGCAAGAGGGAGACCTCATCTTTTCAAAAAAGAAAAGAAAAATTTGCCAGGTGTGGTAGCACGTGACTGTAGTCCCAGTTATTTGGGAGGCTAAGGCAGGAACACTACTTGAGCCCAGGAGTTTGAAGTGAGCTATGATCACACCGCTGCACCCTAGCCAGGGCAACAGAGCAAGATCCTGTCTCAAAAAAAAGAAAATACACACACACACACACACACATACACGCACACACACGCAATAAAATAAAAATAAAATGAACTATTTTTATATAATAGTTTATATAGTTTTTTTAATATAGTTTATATAGTTACTATTTTTATATAATAGTTATTATATAATAATACTATATTAATAATACATACTTTTCACAATTTTTTAAAATAAAGAATATAAGGTTACAAAACATCAATGTATAGTAAAAATCCATTATATGAACGTAGATTAATCTGTATATTTAATTTTTTTCATTCTACCATGAATATATAATATTACTTTAATAATTTTAAAGAACTGCAAACTTTTGTTTGAAACAATAAATAGTAACTATTGAAGTAGAAATGTAGGAGAGTTAGAGAAATCTATACGAATATAGGAATACTTGGAGAAACTGGTTTATTTTAAGAATCTTAGTTTTTATCACTATTAGCAGCTGAAAGTCTTTGCTAACAAAAATTATGGTTGGCTAATATAGCTAAGTGAATTACTAAATATAAGTGTAAATATGCTAATATCAATATATTTTATAATGATTTTTACTAGTTCCAATCCTCTATTAAAATGCAAATAAAGCATGCTATACCTAATCCTTTTTATTCTTAAACATCAAATACAACAACATTTTGATAAATGTCTCACTTTAAAGTATTAAGACCTAGTCAGCGTTATAGGATACACATGCATTTACACCATGAAATCCACTGTAAACTATAGGATTAAATATTTTTCCCTAGTAATTTCAGAAATTTTACTAACATTTCAAGTTTAAACGACATTATATAAAAACTTCAACTTTGAGAAGATCAGAAAAAACTAAAACAGTACTATTTTTGGCTTCTTTTGGCACTGAGGGAATCAGAGGCCCTATAACAAGGTCCAATCACACAGTGACCAGATAAACTGGAACTAGTACCACATCTAAGGCTACCATTCTTATTTCTAAACAACATAGGTACAATAATGGCTTTCAGGGACACTAAGGTAAATTATTAATGTATTTAGCCCAATACATCATCCCTCTACTTGGACTTTTATAGTCCAAAAGAGCACTGTGATGTATGATAAGTCAAACATATCATATCTTGAACACAAGTTTACCAGTATTCCTAGGACACCAGTATACATAGGACTCCATGTATAAATATGTAGTTATAGCCAATTAATAAAGGGAACAGGTAATGTGGATACAATCTAAATTTCAGGGTTAATACAACTAAAAAATATATATAAACTTCATTTGGAAAAAGGATAAAAGAATCACTGTTAAGTCTCATTTATTTATCATAACAGTAAGAGGACCAAAAAATTCCTGTTTTTGAAGAAACAGGATCATTGATAATGGGTAGAGATTTTGAACACTTGTACTTTAAGACTGCAAGTCCAGTAGAATATGTTAAATTCCCTCAGTGAAAGGATACTGGAAGAGGATAGTCACATGGTCTCAAAGTATCATCCCACAGATGATATGCTTTTATAATAAAGAAAGATCTGAAATACTATACCTTAACTAAGTAAAACAACACCTTTAAGAATGGAGAAATCAGATATCATGTGTCTCCTGGCGTCATGCAACAAGAAACTCACAACTTCACCTATACAATATGCTTGGCTAAAGTGTTAAACCTCTGGGAGGCCGAGGTGGGCAGATTGCTCGAGGTCAGGAGTTTGAAACCAGCCTGAGTGAGACCCTGTCTCTACTAAAAATAGAAATTGACCAACTAAAAATATATATACAAAAAAAAAAAAAAAAATTAGCCGGGCATGGTGGTGCATGCCTATACTCCCAGCTACTCTGGAGGCTGAGGCAGTAGGATCGCTTGAACCCAGGAGATTGAGGTTGCTGTGAGTTAGGCTGATGGCACGGCACTCCCTCTAGCCTGGGCAACAAACTGAGACTCTGTTTCAAAAATAAATAAATAAATAGTGTTAAACCTGAATCATGAGAAAATAATCAGACAAATCTAGATCGAGAGTATTCTACAAGAAAATCAGCCTCTACTTTTCAAAAATATCAATCCTAGATTAGAGAGGATAAAAAAAAACAACAGGAAAATCAAAAGCAATGTGTTAACTTTGGTTGTAGATAAAAACAAATTGGCTATAAAAGACATGTTGGAACCACCAGAGAAATCTCAATATGGATGGTATAATAGACTATATTATTGTATCAATGTTAACTTTTGGGGGGGTTATGAAAATGGTCTCATGATCATGAGGAAAATGTCCATGTTTTTAGAAAATACATACTGAAATACTCAGTTGTAAGGTATTTTATGTCTGCATCTTGTTTTCAAATGATAACAGACCAAAAAAATGTACTCACTCATAAAATGATAACAACTGGCAAATCCAGGTAAAAAGTAAATGAGTGTTCATTATACTAATTTTTCATTAGGTTTGAAATTTTTCAAAATACAAAGTTAAGACACAAAAACTTCAGTGTATTGTTGAAAATAATTGAAGAGAGGGAGGCTTAAGTATTGTTAACTCTAATTTCAGAATAACAAGCCAAGCACAGAAGTATGAGTTCTTAATACATACTCTGTTCTCCTTGTGGCTATTGAAAGCATTATCTTCCTCTAATGTTTTATCTAGATCTTCATCAGTAAGTTCAGTTTTCACATTTTGGTTTTCTTCAGTATTTTCTGATTCCTCAATCAAATCTTCATCTTCCACCAAATCTTCTAAACTATTTTCCCATGAAATGGTGGCTCTTTTTACATTTAATATTTTATTATCCAAATTCCTGTCTAGTGATACATTTTGAGAAGATTTGACAGGTCCAAATGATTTCTCTTGAGATGAATTTAAATTGTCTGGAACACAAACCTGTTAAAATATCCAATGTGACTGTTAAAATAGTAAAGGCAAGAACTGTCCACTAGAAAATAATTAATTTTATAAAGTCGAATGACAATCTGAGTGTTAAAAGGTATGCAAACAAACATACAAAAAGAAATGAGTATCCTTAAATGAACATTCTGATTTTTCAAAAGCTACTTATACAAGTATACTACTGGTAAATCTACCTTCCTGGACTAACTTCTTAGCAAGATTGCTAGCAGGGGGCTTTCCAGTTACTCAGAAGCCATAACTGAACCAGATGGATGGCTGACAATTCATTCTAAGAATAGTCATTAATTTGTAATTGATTCTGGGTATAGTGGCTCCTGCCTATAATCCCAGCTACTTTTGAATCTAAGGTAGGAGAATCGCTTGAGGCCAGGAATTAGAGACCAGCCTGGGCAACACAGCAAGACCCCATCTCTAAAAAAAAAAGAAAAAAAAAATTTTTTTTTTTAATTAGCAGGGCATGGTGGTGCACACCTGTAGTCCCCGCTACTCATGAGGCTGAGCCAGGAGGATCCCCTGAGCCCAGGAGTCTGAGGCTGCAGTGATTTGTGACTACACCACTGCATGCCAGTTGGGCAACAGAGCGAGGCCCTCTTTCTTTAAAAAAAAATTTTTTTAATTAAAAAATTTGTAACTAATGTTTATTATTAACACTTAATACTCCAGGTCATTTTAATCCTAGAAGGGCAGGTGCAACTTTCAATCTTTTCCCATGTCTTCCTACGTGGTCAAATATTCACATTTTTAATCTTCAATTATTCCCTAGGCTTATAGTAATGAGTGCAAAATAATTATTTCAAGAAAAATTGTTAGTGTTCTAATAAGAAGAAGAGGCTTAATAAATATATATTTACTTTTTGTGCAATGGCTGAGAACTTCAATACATTGAGCGTTTCATCATAGGCAAAACAACATTGACTGATGTTGACAATCATACATATTTTCCCTTTACCATTAAAAAAACTTTGAAAATAGTGGGTCAGTTTACTTTCCCGGAAAGGCACATGCTGTTGAAACCTATGGAAAAAAATTTTCAAAAACTGTAAGTTAAAACAAATCTCATGAAGTCAACATGCTGATAAATTTTATAAAGAAATAATTGATCCAGCTAATGTGGACTTTTGTGATTAATACCACCTGTAATATCCTTCTCTGTTTGTTTTCTTTAAACATTGCTACTTACTAATAAAAATACTAATAACCCACTAGGCAAAATGCAAAGAAAATCACATTTAACTAGATTGTGTTCCCTAGCTATATACTAGCTACTATGAGATACCTTAACTAGAAATAGTGAAGCCTAATTTACCATTTATGCAGCCTAAAATGCTAATTAATACAAAAACTATCACATGTGGAAGAACACACACAATGCTGTAGTAAGAAAAAATGGTTTTAGATGCTAAACCAGCATCATGAAAAGCTTATCCTTTACAGTCTGTTGGTATGTATTTGTTATGGAAAATACTGAGATTATTTGATGAATTACTGGCATTGACTTTTTAAAAATTTCTGTCTTCTTTTTAATCCAAGATCTCTAAGTACTTTAATCATAATCCACACACAGGCATTATGAAAGAATCAGGTTAAACAGAAAAGAACTTTCTAAAAACAGCAATGTTGAAAGTTTAAACATTATATTAATATGTTAATAACACTTTCAGCAACACCTACTTTGACTTTTCACTGTTCTTCAAAACATTGATACACTTTCCCAGAGTCAATAAAGAAGTATTTATGTTCCCAGTCTCTCTTAACCTTTCACCTTCATTCTGTGTCTTCATGCTTCGTTCTGAACCAGCAAGATCGCATAAAGACAATCTGAATTAACCAAAAAAAAAAAAAAAAATTACTTTAAAAGTTCTTTAAAACAATTCAAAATAATTACAATTTAAATACTCAACTTACTCACTGACTCTAAGTACACGAGACATTTCAGAATCTTCGATCTGTAATATTCTAATGGTGAATATGCTGTGACTGAAATACAAAGATCAAATGTTATCTTTACATTTTGAATTTCTACACTCTAAATAGGAGAGTGACAAGTATCTAAATCGACCTCTATTTTATACCCTAATATTAGGTGTAGTCCACCACTGCATTTCCCAACTATGCTGCCAAACATTTCAATCCAGTGTTCCACTGTCATCCATATACCCAGTTGCCTAAAATCCCTCAAACCTTCTCCTGACATTCCAACTTCTATTAATGAAATCATTTATAATAGTCACAATTTTCACACAAAGAACATATTAGTTAAAACTGTATTAGGTACAGCTAATATTCTTTGAATATGTACCTATAGCAAAGCATACATTTGACCTATAGATCTGGATTATATATCATCCCATGTCAAACTAAGTATGGGGACAGGGCTCTTTCTCCCTTAAGACAAAACCTATTTTAAACTGCTTCAGGCCGGGCACAATGACTCATGCTTATAATTCCAGCATTTTGGAATGGTGAAGAGGGAGGATCACTTGAGCCAGGAAGTTCAGAGCAGCTTAGGTAACACAATGAGACCATGTCTCTACAAAAAATAAGAAAAATTAGCCAGGAGTGGTGGTGAGCAGGAGGCTGAGGCAGAAGGATCACTTGAGCCTAGGAGTTTGAGGCTGCAGTGAGTTATGATAGTGCCACTGCACTCCAGCCTGGGCAAGAGTAAGGCCCTATCTCAAGTTAGTAAGTAAATAAATAAATAACACACTGCTCAAACGTGACTTCCTGTATCTCCCATCCCTTAATCCCTTCCATCAAAAACATAACCCCTTGAGATTATAGCCTAACTCAGTACATATATAGTATTCAAGGGGTAAGTGGAAAAGACAGAGAAAAGGGCATGATTATAGACACCTCTGAAAATATTGAGCTTAGATACTGACATTAAGAAAGAGTAAAAAAACCTCAGACTTTCTACAAATTAGCAAACCTAATGTTAAGAAATAGTATGAGAATATTAGGTATTTAGTGCTGTTCAGTTTACAGAATGTTATGCCTATAAATTCATTTAAAACATAACAGAACCTATTGCCCACTTTACTTTAAAATCAGTTGTATTTAAATTAGCACAGAATATCATGGGTACTCCAGGTTTACCCCATAGCGTTTATTCCTTACCTTCTACTGGAAGCATTATTCAGTTTTGTGAAGGCAATACTCTGGTTCTTTATTCCTAGTTTTAAAAGTCTATATGCTTCTTTGGAATCAAATACTTGAATCCATTGTAGATCTTTAAAAAATAAAGAGTACACATATCAATTTATTAAAACATAGGATGTGTTCTACAATGTAATCTCTTTGATGGTCTTTTCCAGTGAAATATAATGACATTTTTCTTCTAATAACACATCCTAGCTGCACTCAACTCAGCTATTTCATGTTCCACAAGAGGCACAGAAGAGGAGGAGATTATAGCAATGTTCCAATATTTAAGTTACACAAACACAGAAAATAAATGTTCTGTAACAGAGTTTGCCAAAGGGAAAATTAAAAACAAGTACAATTCCTTACATTAAGAACTCAGTAAAAAAGGAGAGACAAAATACAGTACAGATTAAACCTATAAAATTACCCAGCTTCAAAGAGCAACCCAGCAATAGCATTATTAGGCATCTAGTCAAAAGAGCATAAGACATTCTATTACAAAGACATCTGCACCCGAATGTTTATGGCAGCACAATCACTATTGCAAGGACATGGAAACAACTCAAGTGTCCGACAATTCATGAGTAGATTATTAAAATTTGATATATGTTTACAATGGAATATTACTCAACTCTAAGAAACGACAGCGAGCTATCACCGCTTATATTATCCTGGATTGAGCTTAAGCCCATTATCCAAAGTGAGGCGACACAAGATCAGAATAATGGGCTCCACATGTAGTCACCATCAAAGTGGTATTGACTGATTAACACTATGGTGCTCAAAGGGTGGTGGTGTTCACCAGGGATTCAGGGGTTGGAGGGGGACTATGTGGAGGGGTAGTCCCACATCTGAGGGATGTAGTGAGCATTGTGGAGGGGAAGGACACACCTCTAACCCTTGCTAGGGAGAGGCAAAGATATAAAATGTAACCAAAATGTTTTAAAAAAAAACATTTATCAGTTGTCGGGCAAGTAGGAGGGGGGAGGAGGAGATGGGTATTTATACACATAGTGAGTGCGATGCACACCATCTGGGTGATGGACATGCTTGAAGCTCTGACTCAGGGGGGAGGGGAGGCAAGGGCAATGTATGTAACCTTAACGTTTGTACCCCCATAATATGCTGAAATAAAAATTAAAAAAAAAAAAAAACAATTACCCAGCTATGAGACATTGCGGACTACAATTCATTAGTGAATCATGAAATCAAATTTATTGAGTCATAACAAGCATTTTATAAAAATAAAATAGAATATAAAAAATAGCACAGTATACTCCTTATAGTAAAAATATAATTAATGAAACTTTTGACTTGTAAATATTACATACGCATACAATTACATATATGGGTACTGAGTTATGATGTTATTAATATGTATTTCCTAGTGTAATAGCTTTTTAAAGGCTGGAAAAACTACGAGGGAAGAACAGTAACATTTTATAGCTCTAAATTTTGGACACTGTTACAAGTAGCAGAACAATGTGAATATCAACACCCAGCTTTTCTCCTCACCAAGAATCCAATCAACAATATTCAAGCAAACATGATACCCTTTCATATTAAAGTTTAATAAATATACTAAAACATACTTCCAAAGCACAAAATTCTCTTATTCTCTTGATGTTAATAATCAGTATAAAATTTTCAACTTCCTATGTGCTTTCCTATAGCTGTCACAAAGTCTAGGTAGAGAACTATGAGCAGTAAAATAAAAATATTCATTAGTATACCTTTTATAAAAGAATAGCCCTTTACATCTTGGGAAAGGCGCAGCATCTTCCTCTTTTGGAATTTAGATGATACAGGAACAAACAAGTCATAAATACATTCATTGTAAATCTCAAAGAACGAAACCCACACAGAAAATTTTATATTATTATCCATATTCAAGCTAGCTTGTTCACAATCTTTCATGGATTCTTCAAACTCTGGAATATTCAAAGAATTTGTTAAACTTCCTACAAAAAGAAGAAAAAGGATAATGACAAAATTGAGCAATTGACAAAAAAATGGGACTTTAAAAAGTATAGATCACGCCTGCTGGACTTGGAAAGCCAAGTATTCTTAATCTTATGACCATCTATGTTACACATTTTTTAAAAACAAAGTGAGATGTAAATAATATTTGGATTAACAAAAGTTTGACTTCTTCTTATCCTTCCTTTCTGAAAATATGCTAATGAACCAAACAGAAATTAAGCACAAAGGACAAAGAAAAACAAGAGTGTCTCTAGAATTCAATATTAAAATTCTAAGCAGTAAAAAGGGATAGCTGTGGTATTTAATCCAAATAAAACTTTACAATGACTGACATTTCATATAGGCATCATTTTCCAGGTATTTTTGACTATGTCATTACAGAAATTAAATCATTAGAAGTGATTTCAAAATTTAAAGCTTTTCAAATGTATTTCATATGATCTACATATTAAAGAGAAAGGAAACCTTACCGTTAACAGTATCATAGCTGTCATTATGCATAACAACCTAAAAGGAAAGATTTTTTTATTAGTTAAAAAATATTTTTAGATAAGGTTAAATAACGGAGATATTGATTAACTATCCAAACAAATCACAAATCAAATCACAACCTTTCATCCAGTCAATGCAGTGACCTCTATTTATTAGTTTTTTTCCTAGTTAAATAACATAGTCCCATAATGTAAAAAGTTGGGAAAATACAGAAAAGTATTAAAAAGAATATTACCATGTATGGTCAATCCCCACCACCCTGCGGTAATTACTGTTAATATTTCAATATAGTCCCCCTTCTATTATTTTCCCCACACTTAAGTTTTTTCTCCTCATAATTAAAAATTATTTATATACAGCTGATGGCCATGTACCTAAACAGATGTGAAATGACTTAATTATTTATTACTAAATATTTAAATTATTTACAAAGTTTGGCCAGTAAAAATACTAAGATAATATTTTCTTCTGCATTCTAATTATTTCCTTAGAATATGTACCTATAACTGAATTGGTAGATAAAAAGATATGAAAAATTTTAAAGTTCTCATTCTTAATATAATGTTGCCAAACTGCTTTCCAGAAACATTTTACAATCAATGTATGAAAGTACATGTCATTCTTTTAAACATTTTAATAATTTCATAGGAAAAATAATATTTTGTTTTAACTGGATAACTTGTTAGTAAACTTTTTTCATTATTAATGATTTTAATTTCCTATATGAATTACTTATGCAATTATCTACTAACCTTCACAATTTTTATTAATATACTATTTTACTTTCAGAGACTATAATCACGGACTCTGAACTTTGAACTCCACTGAGCAACTCACTTTTTCTTATTACTTTAAAACCCTGGTTTCTAAATGTCTTAAAAAAAGAAAATCTCCATTAATATTTGAAAACATTTATAAAAACTGTTAATAGTTTTTAACAGTCTTGAATAGAATAAGTGTCTGAAAACATAAAACTCAGAATGCATAGGGGAAATAAACAGATAAGTATAACTTCATAAAAATTTTAAAAGTTTATATGGTACCACCTTATTTTTTTTTTTTTTTTTTTTGGGAGACAGAGTCTTGATCTGTTGCCCAGGCTAGTGCCCTGGCATCGGCCTAGCTCAAAGCAACCTCAAAGTCCTAGACTTAAGCAATCCTTCTGTCTCAGCCTCCCAAGTAGCTGAGACTACAGGCATGTGCCACCATGCCCGGCTAATTTCCTTTCTACAGATATTTTTAGTTGCCCAGCTAATTTCTTTCTATTTTTAGTACAGACGGGGATTGGCTCTTACTCAGGTTGGTTTCAAACTCCTGACCTCGAGCGATCCTCCCACATCGGCCTTCCAGAGTGCTAGGCATGAGCCACCACACCCGGCAGGTACCACTTATTTAAAATAATATCCCCTCACAGCATATAGTGTGTTTATTTATTGTCAGTCTCTATGAGGGCAGTGCCATTTGTCTTTGGCACTTAAAATATTGCCTGAACAACCATAGATGCCTTAATAAAAAATTGTTGAATAAATTGGCAAACACAATGGAGGTGGGGAGAAGCAAACAATAAGTTGAAAAACTTGCAACCCATATAATAATGTATTAATTTTTTAAAATAAGTTCTTACAAATCAGTAAGAAGTCAAGATATGGGCAAAAAGCATATCTAACAATTCACAGGAAAAATTCCAAGATATACTAATCACCTCATTGTAATTAAAGAAATATAAATTAAGCCCAAATGAGAAAGACCATTTTTGTTTTAAAAAAAAACTATATCCTACATATAATATATAAAGAAAAAGATATGAAGATATATGTAACCATATATACAACAGTGTATGTGTATATGCAGACATATAGAAAGTTCTATGTATGGATTTTATATAGAGAGAGAAAGTCTAAAAAACATACTTTCCAATGTCTTAATGGTTTTCTTACTGGTTTATAATTGCAAGAATACAATTATAATAAACTCTTACTTTTTATTTCTCACATTTCCTTATTTAAATTTTGTATATATATTACTTTCACAATTAAAGAAACAGAATTTTAGCCAAGTGTAGTGGCTCATGCCTATAATCCTAGCACTTTGGGAGCCCAAGGCAGGAAGATCACTTGAGGCCAAGAGTTCGAGACCAGCCTGGAAAACACAGCAAGACCTCATCTCTATAAAAAATAATTAGTGAGGCATGGTGGCACATGCCTGCAGTCCCAGCTACTCAGGAAGCTGAGGCAGGAGAATCACTTGAGACCAGGAGTTTGAGACTGGAGTGAGCTATGAGTGAGCCACTGCCCTCCAGCCTTGGCAACAGAGCCAGAGACCCTGTCTCAATGAATAGATCAATCAATAAAATAAAAAACACAGAATTTTTAAAATTCATCACATAACAAGTATAATATCGGCTTTACAACACCAAAATCATTTCAGAACCATTTACATCTGTATTGTTTAAACATTCTTGCTGTTTTTATAACATAAAATAAGAGAAAGAGATATCTTCAAACTTCAAGCTTTAAACATCTTTCTCAAGAAAAACCCAAGGCAGCCACTACCACCACAAAACAGATTCCAATATAGACTGAAACAAAAGGGTTTATAAAAGGTCATGATTTATATATGTTTTACATTCTAAAATATTTTCATACCTCTTTAATTTGCCGAAGCAATGCACTTTTGCTAGCAATTTCTTCTTTCTCTTGGTCTAGTGATAACCGTAAGTATTCTCTGGATCTATGTGGTTTAAGGTTCGTCTTTGTATACAGTCTGTCCTGAAGACTATCAAATAATACATTCAAAGTTCGAGGCAGAATGCCAATATTTTCTTCTGTGCCTATAAAAAGAATTTTTGTCTTACACTCTCTCAGACAAGTTGGAAAAAGGAAACTTTCCTGGACTACTAAAGCTCCTCCTATACTACCAATAAGCACGAGTAAATAGCTACAATATTACTAAGTGTGAGAGAAGTTGAGGGAATACTCAGTTTTCCATTACTTTGGTCTTCACTGTATTACTGACATGGATGGACATTTTATCAACTACTATTCTAATGCAAAATCTGAAATTTTACATTCCTGTAAGGTAGGGGTCCTCACAGTTTCTAAACAGGAGGCCAGTTCACTGTCTCTCAGACCATTGGAGAGCCGGACTATAGTTTAAAAAAAAAACTATAAACAAATTCCTATGCACACTGCACATATCTTATTTTGGAGTAAAAAAACAAACGGACAAAAACACCTGCATGTGGCCCATGGGCCGTAGTTTGAGGACACCTGCTGTAAGGCCATAATATTAGATTTATAATCACCCATAATCACAAAATATAAAAGTAAAATTAAATATATAGTGTCTTACTGGTTACCAATGCTCAATTTTCTATATCACATCAATTCTTTTTCTGAATTTTCATCATCAATCTTATTTTTCTATCAATGGCTAAAGTATTTTTACATGTGAATTAAATAAATCTGAATTAAAAGCCATAGGCAATATTCAATATGCTATTACTATTAAAAATGGAGCAAACACATACAAGCTGATGGAAACGTTAAATACGTGCAAGTATTATAAAAATACTGAGTGAATATTATTGCTTCTTTATCCTTTCCAACCGAAATGAAACAATATTTACCTTGAAATGTATATGTTTTTCCTGAATTGGTTAGCCCATAAGTAAAAATCAGGCGACTTTGTCCTTTCAAGAGGTCTTTTATTGGCTGTATAATACAACCCTGAAAGAATTCTTTCTGTGTAGTTCCTGGGCCAAAAACCTATGTAAACATTTTTAAAACAAGTCTTTTTAGAAAATTCAGGTTAACTCACAGTGTGTTCTACCTATCTCTCATGTTTAAAAAATTTTAAAGATTGGTTATATAAGATTCATTCTTAAAACAGTTGCCATATCCCCACTTCCACAAATAGCACTTGATGGTTTTAATACCAGAAAATTTTCAAGTTTTCATGATAGAAATTTGACCCAGCCAATTGAGTTGTCATTTAAGTTTTGAAAAAAATCATTTCTTTAAAAAAACAATAATTTTAAGAACACTGCAGTGATTTCTTCACTTCTAATTACATATTTCCAGACCTAAAATCTGAGACCTACTCTTAAGGAAAAAATACCAGTACCTAAGATCTAAGTTCCATAAGCACAAAATGTACAGTCATTACATACAATTATAATATATAGCCATTTAGCCCAAGCAAGTCTCTTCCTCTTTAAAAAAAATTGGTTTCACATGGGTACTTACCTTGGAAAAACTGAATTTCTGTGCCATCTGCCCAGAGCTTTTCTCACTTAACCGACTAAGGATGTTTTGAGGGTCTTTCAGCAGAATGGTCTGTGAATCCAGAATATGCACACAGCCCTAAAACATATATCCACAATAAATAAGAACAATAGTATTTTATTTGTTTAATGAAAGTAAAATATTAAAACATAATTAAATCCAACACAAACCTCTGATTCATGTTCTTTTTCTGACTGTGTGAATGGTTTTATTCGAAGACAAACCTGGAGATAATCTTTAGATTCTAAACTGTTTGCCTTAAGAAGAAAAAAAATAAGAATATTTTAAAGATATAAAATATGGCTTTTAAGAGATCATCTTTCTTCAACATGGCTAATTGTTATGTTATAATCTGAGATCAAACAATTACTAAGCAATTAGTCACTATTCTGTTTTTAACCATTTTAGAAAAACTCAACAAATCTATTTAAATTAAAGCAAAATATACCACAAAAGATTCAGTTTCCTTACCTCCTGTATTTATATATGAAGTTTACATAAAGCCTTTTTCCATAAAAACCTAACCTTTATATCCAATACAATTAATGAGGCTCTAAGTAATTGGAAAATAGAACTCTAGAATAAGTCACAAGTAACCAGAATATACTACTAACCCAATGCTCGATTCCATCATGCTTCAGAATTTTTTTACTCCATAATATTCTCTTTGCTACTTTCTTTGAAGGAGAATAAGTTTAGTTCATTTTTAAATGTAATTTTAAAGAACTGTTTTAAATTTTCTTTAAAAGGATAAAAAAAGGAAATAATTACTTGAAAACCACAACTTAACAAAACAGAAATAAGAACTAGAAAATCTGAATAACCCTGTATCTATTCAAGAAATTCAATCCATTTCCAAACACAATAATCCTACAAAGAAAAAACAAGGCCCTGGTACTTCACTGGTAAATTCTATCAAACATTTAAGGAAATAATCATACAAATCATACATAAACTCTTTACAAAAATAAAGGAAAACACCTCAACTAATTTTGAGTTTGACATAACCTTGATAACACACAACCTGCAAAGATATCCTCAGAAAAAAGTTACAGAACATACTACATTAAAATAGAAGAAAAATTTCTCAAACAAAATACTAGCCAATATACAAAATAGGATAATACATCCTGACCAAGAATGGCTTCTCCCAGGAATATACGGTCAGTTTAGCATTCAAAAAAAAATCAGGGCAATTAACCACATTAAAAGAATCAATGAGAAACTTTATAAATACAAAAATAAAGCACATGACAAAATTCAACACCCATTCATAATTAGAATTCTCAGCAAAGTGTAATAAAAGGAAACTTCCTTAGCTTCATAAAGGGCATTTATAAAAAAAATCTACAGCTAGCATCATACTTAATGTGAAAAGCTGAATCTGAGTAGCAAGATGAATAATAATACAGATTCAACTTCACCACTTCTATTAACACTATACTAAAAGTTCTATAGCCAGTGCAATCAGGCAGGAAAAGGAAAGGAGAAAGGAGAGGAGAAAGGGGGGGAGAGGGGAGAGGGAGAGGAGAGGGGAGGGAGGGAGAGGAGGGAGAGGGAGAGAGAGAGGAGGAGGAGAGGAGGGAGGAGAGGGAAGAGGGAAGAGGGAAGAGGGAAGAGGGAAGAGGGAAGAGGGAAGAGGGAAGAGGGAAGAGGAAAAAAATGCATCCAAACTGGGAAAGAAGAAATAAAATTGTCTTTATTCAGAGACAACATGAACATATGCACACAAATCCAACAAATCTATAAAAAACTAATGTTTACTGACAGAATGCTGATCAGAAGTTACCTAAAGGTGTGATGAAAGGAAGGGATTACAAGGAGGCTGCAGAAACTTTTGAGGATAAATATATTCATTATCTTGACTGTGCTGATAGTTTCACAGTATATGAATATGTCAAAACTTGTTAAACTGCATACTTCAAATATATGCATTTTTTAAAATCTTAATTATGCCTCAATAGAGCTGTTAAGAAATATGATTTACAATAGCATCAAATAACATGAAATGTTTACAAATATATTTGACAAAAGACATGGAAGATCTCTATATTGACAAGTATAAAATATTGCTGAGACATTAAAGATCTAAATAAATAGAGAAATATACTATGGTCATAGATTAAGAATGAATATTGTCAAGATGTCAGTGATGATGGGTCAAAGATATAACCACTGAAACAAAGAATACAAAATTTCTAGAAGAAATTTTCTAGAAATTTCTAGAAGAGATTTTGTAGGGCAAAATCTTCACAATTATGAGGAAGGCAAAGATTTCTTACAGAGGACATACACACTAACAAAGAAATATTAAACTGAACATCTTTAAATTTAAAAATATCTCATCAAGACATAAATCTGATAAAGGATATGTATCTGGAATATATAAAGATCTCTCACAAATAACTAATAAGACAAATAACCTAATTTTTTTAAATGAGAAAGATATAAAGAGAAGTTTACAAAACAAAGTATAGGAATGGCCAAGAAATACTTGAAAAAGCCCTCATTAGTGAAATGCATACTAAAACCATAAAAAGCTACTAGTACACACCCACTAAATTAAAGACTGACATTACCAAATGTTCACAAGGAGGTGGAGGCACTAGAATCTGAATACATTACTGGTGCTGGTAAAGCCACTTTGGAAAACTGTTTAGCAGTTACTCATGAACTTAAACTTACACAACTTCCACTCCTAAGTATTTACCAAAGAAAAATGAAAACACAAGTCCACAAAAAGTCTTACACATGAATGTTCAGAGCAGCATTATTTATAATGGCCCTAAACCAGAAAATACCCAAATGTCCATCAAATGGTAAATGGAAATGTGCCATATTTGCACGATGGACTACTACTTAGCAATAGAAAGGAACTACTTACATATGATGGATGATGAATCTCAAAACATAATGCTAAGTCAGAGATAAATAAATTTTTCTGTAAAAAGCCAGAAAGCTAATATTTTAGACCTACAGACCCTACAGTCTCTATCACAACTACTCAACCCTGCCATTATAGTGCAAAAACAGATATAGAAAATAAGTGAACCAATAAGTATAGGTGAGATGCAATAAAACTTTATTTAGAGACAGTGAAGTTTGAATCTCATATAATTTGCACATCATGAAACATTCTTTTGATTTTTCTTCAACTATTTAAAAATATAAAAACCATTATTAGATTGTAAGCAAGTATAAAAACAGGAAATACAAAAATAGGCCATTTTTGGCCAACCTTTGTGTTATAAAAAGGCAGACACAAACAACTACATAATGTATAATTCCATTTTATATAATCAAGAGGCACTTATCACAAAATTCCTTCCTTTCTTCTCTCTTTTGTCCCTTCCTTCCTTCCTTCATTTATCTATTATTAAATGAGCTTAAAGTATTTTTAAAAACCTGACATATCATGGGTATTAAATGTTATTTTTTATCTATGCCCCCTAACTCCCCTTTTCCCCTTCCATTATTCTTTATAAAATGGGTTAGTTCATATTTCTAAGGCACCAAAATTAACAACCTAAAATGTAACAAACAATATAAATGACTCAAAAAGTACACATATAAGAAAAGATCTGCAAAGACACACAAGCAAACGTTACAATGGTAGTAAGTAGGGTGGTAGGAGAACTTTTACTTACTCTAGCATTGTTGAGTTATTTTAGTTTTTAAAAATTTGTATTCTTTTTAAAATTAAGGCTTGCAATTCCTAGGGACATAGTGGAAAATTTCACATTTTTTAAGGGAATCACAGCAATACTTGACATATATTGAACAACCTCCTGCCTCAGCCTCCTATGTAGCTGCACACTACCACACCCAGCTAATTTTTCCTATTTTTAGTAGAGACGGGCTCTCACTCTTGCTTAGGCTGGTCTCACCAACTCTTGACCTCAAGGGATCCTCCCACTTCAGCTTCCCAGAGTCCTGGGATTTCAGGTGTAATCACGCCTGGTCACTATTTATTTTGATTATGTCATATCTTTACTAAACTGGTTCTTTCAGTGGTTGCTACAATAAAAAGCAAGTACTACATAAAAACAATGAAGAACAGAAAATGAGGGTGGCAACATCTAATCAGATTCCAAGGTTTTAGAAGTTGTATGTGCTCAAAAGGCACACACATCTCTCCAAATAAGGTCAAAAAATTAAATTAAATTTTAAAAGGCACGTATGTCTTATTAGTAACTGTAGTTATCAAAGAATAAAATTTAAAACATTTTCATTCAAGTTAATTTTTTTCTAATGGCTATTAGTTTAGGACATAGATACTTATTACATTGTTTAGGCATACTACTTGAAAAAGAACTTTTATATATTTCTTTTGGCCTAGAGCTCTCTGACAAAGTTACTTAGATACAAGGTTGCCTTAAACCCAGACAGTTTGAGAATCTCTGTCTTAGTCACATGCCCAAATACATACATATACACAAATATTAGCCACATACACAAATATTTCCATTCGAAGATAATCAACATGATACTTTTCTTATACTTACTTCAGTGTTTGGAGCAACTAAGGAAAATTCATGAGAGAGATCAAGCTTAATGCCATCAAAATTTATTCCTGAAGGCCTTGCAATTGGGTCAGCACTAAAAACATAAGATGGTCTCGGTACTCCCTCTTGATTCAAATTAGATTCCATTCTGCAAGAATAACAGTAACTATTTTAGACAACCTTACTAAGTCAGTATGTAAGCCACTCACACATAAAAAGTCTGGCTCACTATTTTCCCCCAAATAACCAGAGTTCAGAGAAGGAAAACATTAGATTGCTTCATGTATAACACAATGACCTATGGAAAATACAAAATATCAATTTATATTTATAGACTCTGAATCAAATAATATTAAACATGGCTTACTATTATTTATCTGATTCAACCCATGGGTAGATCCATACAAAGAAATTTCATGAGTAAAGATAATCTGTAGCCCGGGCGAGGTGGCTCATGCCTGTAATCCTAGCACTCTGGGAGGCCGAGGCAGGTGGATTGCTCGAGGTCAGGAGTTCGAAACCAGCCTGAGCAAGAGCGAGACCCCGTCTCTACCCAAAATAGAAAGAAATTAATTGGCCAACTAATATATATACAAAAAATTAGCCGGGCATGGTGGCGCATGCCTGTAGTCCCAGCTACTTGGGAGGCTGAGGCAGCAGGATTGCTTGAGCCCAGGAGTTTGAGGTTGCTGTGAGCCAGGCTGACGCCATGGCACTCACTCTAGCCTAGGCAACAAAGTGAGACTCTGTCTCAAAAAAAAAAAAAAAAGATCCAATGATGGACCCTGCATATTGGCCCTACATTGTTTACCTCATCACAGTAGGCAGGGACCTTAGCTCAAAAACCCACTTGGCCACCAAACTTAAATTTAAAATTTAAACTTAAATTCTTAAGCATTTATTAATATTTGCTTTAAATATAGCCCAAATAAGTATATTTTTAGTCATTTGGGGCCTGCTAGGTTTGTATATCCCATCAAATTGCACCAAACAGCTGCCCTTCAGAGTTCTAAACTCCCTTCTGTGCAACATAACTTTGACATGTAAGTCCCTCTGTGATTCTCCTCTCCCACTCCCTCAAGTTCCATTGCCTTTTTCCCCCTCTGAGTTGTGGTCCTTCACTCTAGTCTAGGAAAGGTCCCACTCCCAGAGGAATTTCCCTTGCTTACACCCCTTCAAAGCCCTGTCCAAATAAAGCTCCTTATTTACTACTGCCACCTCATGGTAATATCTTTTTCCCTCAACCCCAAAGTTCCCAAACCCTCCACAAGAGCATTGTTGGGTTGTTTCCCCCCTAAATTGCAACAAGACTAAAGAAATTATACATTTATCTTCAGTAGATCCAGGCAACCTATAGGATTAACCAACCATACAAGTAAACAAGTTTCATATGTTTATTGCCTGTTTTTATTGTAAACTCAGTAATGTAATGAAAATGGAAAGTTACTTCAATACAGTTGGATATAATATTTCAAATATGCAATTTATGGATAAAAATTAAGAAAAGGGGTATCTTGTGGAGTAAAACACAATTGGTGATCTAGAATATGAGGGGAAGTTTGCCAAAAACCATTAAAGTACTGGCTTGACATTTCATGACGCACAATTCATAGAAAACTATAAAATACACTTCATTCTTTGGCTTCAAATAATTTTGGTTTTTTAAAAAAGTGGATATTTTAAATTACTGAATCAAAAAGAATATTCTTATGTGTAAAAAAATAAGGTTATAATAAATAAGTTTGTATTTGTTCATATGTTTATTTTTCAATGAACAAGCTACTTCCTAGCAATTCTAAAATTGTTGAGATGTACTTTCACTTCTTGTAATTTTAGTTGGATTCCTACTTATATGTGGTCTTTCCAACCAGTATGTAAATTTCTTAAAGGCAAGAACCTTGTTTTGTAATACTCTGTTATGTCCTACAACAAATTCAGAGACTTATGTAGTGATAATGACTCCCTGTCTAGTGACTTAAATAATGGTAATAAATAAAATCCTATAGTGCTGTGGCGTCAGCCTAGCTCACAGCAACCTCAAACTCCTGGGCTCAAGGGATTCTCCTGCCTCAGCCTCTGGAAGGAGCTAGGATTACAGGCGCAAACCACCAGGCCCTGCTAATTTTTCTATTTTTACTAGAGACAGGGTTTCACTCTTGCTGAGGCTGGTCTCCAACTCCTGGCTTCAAGCGATTCTCTCGCCTTGGCCTTCCAGAGTGCTAGGATTACAGGAGTGAGCCACCCTGCCAGACCTGAATGAAGATTCTGAATGTGATCCTCAACATATACCCTCAAAAAAGGTCTTCACAACTAACTGATGACTCCTTTTTGCAATTTGAAATTTGGATCTTGGACATGAAATAAAATATATACAGTGCTATTCTGCTTCTGGAGTAACATGCTACCTTGTTTTAAAAGCAAAAACAAACCTCAATTTGATCATCTTGAGCAGGGATTAAAAACAATCTAATCCATAAAGCACGAATTTGTGTCAACTAGTCCTTCAGCAAGGAATATTAGAACTGCGGTCCCAATCCTGCGAGCCGCTGCCCTCCCCTGCCCCGCCTCCCCTCCCACCCACTCCCACGGAAAATTTGTCTTCCATGAAACCGGTCCCTGGTGCCAAAAAGGTGGGGAACCGCTGTTTAGAGAACTGGACCAGACAGGAATTACGAAGCAAGGAGTGGAACGAGATGGGAAAAGTCTTCTAAACTGGGGGATGACAGGCGTCAGAGTCTCACACACGCTTGTTCAGCCTGGCAGTGTAAAACCCTAAAATGTCAAGCCCCAGGCACAGGCAGGGACAGTCTGGAATTAAGCGCACAGAGGCCACCAAAGGGCTCCCCCCAAAAGAGGCCATATCATCTCCTGAGCAAACTGCTTACCTCAGGGATTCAGGAAACTAGGCTGGCAAAGAGGCCTGTTTCTCAACAGCAGCAGAATCAACTACACTAAAAATATTAACGATAGCAAACAGTATCTGTTATGTGCCAGCACTGTTTCAAACAGCTTCACACATTACCATTTAATCTTCACAAGAGCCCGAGGAAGTAGGTACTATTATTGCTCCCTTTTAACAGACGAGGAAACTGAGGCCCAGAGAGATTAGTAATAGGCAGTGGAGACGACATTTAAACCCTAATCCAAGCAGTATAGCTCAATTCTCCCTGCGCACCTGGTGTCCCAGGTTTCCGCATCACTCCGCAACTCAGTTCCTGACAGTAAGCTCTTAGGCGTCATGAGCCCGGCTAAAAGATGTCCACATTGCCAAGGCCGTTTTCCCACCTCAGGCCTCATATATGTCCAATCACCCACCTCCTTCCCGGCACCCTTGCCCAGGTCACCTCCTCACCTACAAACGTTGCCTACGCCAGGCCACCCGGCCTGCGAGCAGCACTGGAATGTTTTCCTTTTCAAATTCAAACAATGGCGGCCAAAGCGCCGCACTGAACGCTGGGAGTGGGCGGGGCTTCCGGAACGAAGCTCGGGAGGCCTCTGGCTCGCGCTGCGGGCTTTCCAGAGGCTCCCGGAAGAAGCTTTCAAATCTGGGGGCGGATCTTGGAACGCGGAGCAACCAATGGGCAGAGGCAGGCTCGATTGCGGCCCGGTGGCAGAGGGTCTGGCTTAGCTTTGGGTTCCGCGCGCTGTACGGATGCGGCGCTTTCTCGCGGCTGCGATAAGTATTACCCTGTCGACTGAGATGCCGATCTCGTATTCTGTCCTTAAAGCAATAAAGATGTGGCGAAGGCCATGGGGTGAGGCCGCTGCCACCACACTTACTCCTGCGACTTCCTGGGGACAGGCCGAGTAATGGCGCTCTAGAAACCTCCCCGTACGGTCCCAACAGAGCAGAAAAGGCTCTGCCTCCCGGGATCCAGAGGGTCAGTTCCCTTGCCGCATCCCCATTTTGCAACTGCTAATATAAAAATTGATATAGGTAAGCTTATGAATGCTAAAACCAATGGATGCAGGATGCTAAAACCAGTGGCTGAAAGGTTGTCGAGGAAGAGTGTATTAACACTATCTCAAAGAATCACCCTACAGATTATTTCCTGATTATAAAAGGAAAAGATAATTTTACAATGAAAAGATTTATTAGACATACCTTAACCAAGTTAGGATACTTAGCATCACTAATAGTCGAACACTATATCACTTGATGCTATATGTACCAGAAATATTTGCCACGAATCTAATCATGAGGAAACAATCAGAAATATAACAAAATGTAGAACATTCTGCAAGACAACACGCCTAGGCTTTTCAAAAAATGTCAATGTCATGACAGGAAAAAGAAAAAACCAAGGTGGAGTATTGTGTTAGTCAAGAGACAAAAGAAACTAAATGAAATTGTGAATCTTGATTGGTTCATAGATTTTTTTTAAAGTTTTTAAAACTGCAAAAGATATTTGTGGACAATTGGGGAAATTTAAATATGGACTTCATATTAGATATTGCATCAGTTTTCAATTGTTTGCTCATGACAATTTGTGATTAGGTAGAAGAATGTCTTTGTTTTGGGAAGGTATTTGCTGAAGTAAATACCTTCAGCAATACTACAAAGTGTCACAAGTGTCTGCAATTTACCTTCAAAAGATCTGGCAAAAAATAAAATACAAAAACAAAATAGAAAGTAAATGTGGCAAAATTAATTATCGGTGAATCTAGATGAAAGGTATAATGGTGTACATTGTGCCGCTCTTGCAGCTTTTTAAAATAATTTTGAGATTTTCTAAAAAGGAAAATTCTAATCTTAACCATGGCCTGCCAGGCCCTGCCAGATCAAGTGCTGGCAACCCTCAATCACCATGTGGTGCCTTAAGTTAATTTCCTTTGGATACCTCAAACATCAGGTTCTTTCTAGTATATATGAACTTTTACATTGGGTTATTCTCTCTACCTTAATTCTGTCTTCTCCATTCATCATATAGCATTTCTCTTCCTTCTTTAGATCTCATCTAAAATGTTACCTTCTTAGAGAAGACTTTCCTGACTACTTTAACTCAAGTGAGACTTCTTTTTAATTTGCAAGTTCAATTCTATTTTCATACTTATAACTAGGAATTATTATTTGTCTGATTGTTTTCCCCCACCCTGTTAAATTTAAGTTCTGTGAGTACAAGAACTGTTTGTCTTGGTCATTGATTTATCTTTGGTGACTATATACAAAACAAGCAAATATTTGTTGAACAATGAATGAAGGCTGAGGTGGCTGAGGTGGAGAAAGTGGGAGGAGTGTCAGTGAATGGGCCGAGGCCATTCCCTATAAGCCTTAGCCAAGTCTTGATTTGAGTCTTACGAAATGCTACTGGACTGGTTTAAGCACGAGCATTGTATGATCCAATCTGCATCTATCTTTTGAAAAGGTTAATCTGGGGAAGAGAATAGAAGCAACCAAGGAGGATACTGCTGAACCAATTAGGAGGCTATTGCAAGAGATCCCAGAAAGAGATGATGATAATGTGGACTTGGGAAATGGCAGAAGAGATGCAGGAAGGTGTCCGGATTTCAGAGGTATTTTTTTCCTATATTTTCCATTTCAACACCAGTCACTGGTTTTTCCCTTAGAGATGCAGAGCCAATTTGACTGGAAAGTACTTGAAATTTAGTCCCATTACAAAGAATTCCATCTGTGTCCTTGAAATAAACATTAACATAAAATGAAAAAATTGATAAGTTATATCAAGTTGGTTTCCTGCCCTGGTCACAACCTCTGCTGTTAGTAATAGCTAACTGTCCATGTGTCAGATACTATTCTTAGCACCTTATACACATTTAATCCTAACAGTAACCCTATAAGGTAATTTGCTACTATTATCCCCATTTAACAGAAGAGGAAATTGAGGTACAGAGCTATGAAGGAATAGTAAAGGTATGCACTATATAGAAGTGTTAAGATTAAATCAGGTAATATTGTAAAGTACTTATAACCCATGTTAAATAATAACTTGCTTAAGTTTGTATAAGTAGTAAACAGTGGAATTGGAATCGGAATGTGAGCAGTCTGGCTTCAGAGTCTGTGCATTCTACTACCTCTCAAAGTTTGGATCTAACACCCCTGAAATTCTCTTAAGAAAAGACTGAGTGTTTAACTCTTCCTGCAAAGCCACCTCTGGAAGCAGGACTAAACAGCTCATTTTTCTTTTTCTTTTCTCCCCTCTTATCTCTGGTTCTTGATTCAGGAAGCAGCTCACTTTTCATTCTAAAAACTGAATCTGTATTAATAACAAAGGTTTGAATAACAGTTTCAAGGAAAATTTATCAAGCACACACTAAATGGCAGTTATCTCTACCCTTAAGAAGCCTGTCTAATAGCAGCCTTTCTCAACCTGTGATTTCAAAAGACAATTAATCCCTAATGCCTTTAGGCATCCACTGTATATAATGAATTAACTTCTCTCCTGTACATCTAGAATGGTACTAGTTCTGTACCATCCTGAGAAAACTGAGAAAATAGTCATATAATTTTTCTTATCTCCTGTGGTTCATATGGGGAAATCTGTATGCAAACAATTTCAAAATGTTATGAGAAATGCAATAATAGAAGTGAAAAAGGAGTACAGGGAGCAGAGTGAGTATAGCTTAAGAGTAGTGGCTTTGAAGTCAGACAGAACTGAGTTTGAATACAAGCCCAGCCACTTATGGCCAAGAAAGGATATTTAACTTCTCTGGAGCTCCTAAAGTTGTTGTGAGGATTAAAATAGCTTATATGGCTGGGCATGCAGTGACTCATGCCTGTAATTCCAGTGCTTTGGGAGGCCAAGGTGGGAGGCTCTCTTGAGACCAGGTAGGGCAATGTAGCAAGACCCCATCTCTAAAAAAAAAAAAAAATTTAAATTAGCCAAGCATGGTGGTGCAAGCCTGTAGTCCCAGCTCCTTTGGAGGCTGAGGTGGGAGGATCTCTTGAGCCCAGGAGTTCAAGGTTACAGTGAGCTATGATTGTGCCACTGGACTCTACTACTGTAGCCTGTAAGCGGAACAAGACCTTGTCTCTAAAAAAAAAAAAAAAAAAAGCAGCATTGTGAATTATTTAGTATAATCCTGGCACATAGTAGATTTCATGATGATCGTTATTTTTATTAAGTCACTAGAATGCAAACTCATGACTGACTGTCTTGGACCACTATGGCCCCAACCCCTAAAACCATGCCTTGCACATAACAGGCACTCAGTATACATTTTTTTTAAATAAGTGACATCTACCAGGGAAGATTTCTTTACATAGTATGTAGGCTGAAATGAATGAATGGGTTTTGCCAATGAATTGCAAGGGGAGGCCATTCCAGATGATGGAAGGCTATGAGGCAGTGATAAAAAGGACAAGAGCACACAAAAGATTCCACAAACTAAATACATACATTGGTATGACAGTGAGTATAGCTAAAGTGGATAATGGCAGGAGATGAAAAATGTAGGCACGGGCTAGAGATCATATAGGGCCCTATATTATACACTAAAAAGAAGTTGGAATTATAAACTATAAAACACAGGTTTTGCCCAGCAGAGGTATAGAGGGAAAAGTGGAGGAAGAGAAAAAACAGTAAGGGTTGAGTCTGTAAATTCTAAATCTTATACGGTGGGAGTAAGAAATAAAGGAACAGGATGTAGGAGTATAAGTGTACTATTTAAATGTACAAAGAAATGTGTAGAGGGAAAAAAACTAGTTATGACTGTGTTATTTGTCATTTTAGGAAGTAGATATCTATAATTGATACATGAAGAAATAACATTATGAGCATATTATTTGATGATATGTATAGTAACTGCCAAAATTACTAAAAACAAATTACAAGGGTGATTGCCTCTGAGAAGCAGGACTGGAGGTGTGGATAAGCTATTTTTAAATTTGTAATAAACTTTCTTTTAAATTAATGATTCAAAGAAAAGCATTCCTTTACTAAGCACTTATTGTGTGTTAGGGTATGAGATCTCATCACCTCCTTAGGGAAAGAATCTGACAGATTTTTCTGGTTTGCAATTTGTTTGTACAAAATTTGCCCAAATATAAGCTGTTGTAGTAATTTTTCTTCAAAGCCAGGTTAACTAGCTTTACCCACAGGAAAAAGGCAGTTTTAATTTTTAGTGATCGTAAGTCAGAAGGTTGGAAGAAAAATTGGAAACATTAGTTTGGAGATTCGCAGCTGGATGTAAGAGGAAACTAAAAATGCAATATTCAATCCACATACTAAAAAATTCTACAACAATGGACATGGCTAGAATCTAATAATAGCTGTACTATAGTTTTCTTCTAAAACATAATGTTTTCTCTCTCCAGTCCCCTCATCACAGTAAGACTAACTTGTTTGCAAAATAAGTTTACTCTTTGACATGGTTATTTATTTACCTGTTTAGCAAGAATGGTGATTGACCCTTTAGGTTTTTTGTTAAGTTGGCTTTTTTCATAAGAAATCTGAATTTCTGGATTCCTTTTTTCATAAGAAATTTTCATAAGAAATCTCAGATTAGAATTGTTTTTTTTTTGTTTTTTTTTGTTTTGTTTTGTTTTGTTTTGTTTTATTTTGAGACAGAGTCTTACTCTGTTGCCCAGGCTAGAGTGCTATGGCATCAGCCTGGCTCACAGGGACCTCAAACTCCTGGGTTCAAGCAATCCTCCTGCCTCAGCCTCCTGGGTAGCTGGTACTACAGGCACGTGCCACTGTGCCTGGCTAATTTTTTTTCTATTTTTTAGTTGTTTTTGGCTAATTTCTTTCTATTTATAGTAGAGATGGCATCTCGCTCTTGCTCAGGCTGGTCTCCAACTCCTGAGCTCAAGCGTTCCTCCCACCTCGACCTCCCGGAGTGCTAGGATTACAGGCATAAGCCACGGCCACGGCCAGACTGGAATTTTTGAAAAGCCTCTAGAGATGCTATAGTTTGAGTTTGTCTGCACCAAACACATGTTGAAATTTGATGTCCAATGTGGTGGTTTGGGAGGTGGGGCCTAGTGGGAAGTGTTTGGGTCAGGGGCAGATTCCTCAATAATGGCTTGATGCCTTTTTCCTGGTAGTGAGTGAATTTTCATCCTCACGAAATTGGATTAGTTCTCACGTGAATGTTTCTGTGAGAGTGGGTTGTTATAGAGCCAGGACACTCCTTGAGTTTTGCCTCTTCTCACATGATGGAGTAATCAAAAGATTTCAAAGAAGCAAAAGTCTTTACTTTTTGAAAGAGAGGAGACTCAGTTTTCCAAATAATTAAAAGACCTATTAAAGGCCGGGAGTGGTGGCTCATGCCTATGATCCTAGCACTCTGGTAGGCCGAGGCAGGCGGCTCACTCAAGGTCAGGAGTTCAAAACCAGCCTGAGCAAGAGCGAGACCCCGTCTCTACTAAAAAATAGAAGGAAATTAATTGGCCAAATAAAAATATATAGAAACAATTAGCCGGGCATGGTGGTGCATGCCTGTAGTCTCAGCTACTCGGGAGGCTGAGGCAGAAGGATTGCTTGAGCCCAGGAGTTTGAGGTTGCTGTGAGTTAGGCTGATGCCATGGCACTCTAGCCTGGGCAACAGAGTGAGACTCTGTCTCAGAAAAAAAAAAAGAGCTAGTAAAAACAGCATGAGGCACAGAGAATCTGTTTCTCTTTCTCTGACCTTTTGTTTTTAGTTTACTCAAAAGATTAAAAAAGTCTTTTACAATCTTTTACTAATATTACATAAAAATCTTGTTTAAACAGAAAACCAAATTTTATTTTTGTGCCATTGTACTATCAATACTATAGCTAATTTTGGCCAGGCATGGTGGCTTACGCCTGTAATTTCTGTGTTGCACTTGGGAGGATCACTTGAGGCCAAGAGTAAGAGATTAACCTGGGCATCATAATAAGACCTCACCTCTACAAAAAATTTTTAAAAAGTCAGTCAGGTGTGGTGGCACACACCTGTAGTCCAGCTACTGAGAAGACTGAGGCAGGATAGTTTGAGCCCAGGCATTGAAGGTTACAGTGAGCTATGATCATGCCACTGTACTCCAGCATGGGCAACAGAGCAAGACCCTGACCCTAGGAAAAAAAAAAAAAAAAGAAAAATACTAAAGCTAATTTTAATAAAACCTAATAAACAAATTTACACATCTCAGCTCTGACCACGTAAGATTTTTATAAACCTTCTGTAGCCTCTTACAATTTTTTTCATTCTCTTTTTCCCCTAACTTTATATCCAATTAGTTTTTTTGTTGTTTTTTTTTTTTTTTGAGACAGAGTCTCGCTTGTTGCCCAGGCTAGAGTGAGTGCCGTGGCATCAGAGCTCACAGCAACCTCAAACTCCTGGGCTCAAGCAATCCTTCTGCCTCAGCCTCCCGAGTAGCTGGGACTACAGGCATGTGCCACCAGTGGCATGGCTAATTTTATATATATATTAGTTGACCAATTAATTTCTTTCTATTTATAGTAGAGACAGGGTCTCGCTCTTGCTCAGGCTGGTTTTGAACTCCTGACCTTGAGCAATCCGCCCTCCTCGGCCTCCCAGAGAGCTAGGATTACAGGCGTGAGCCACCACGCCTGGCCCAATTGGTTTTA